TGTTATTCGGATGCCAATTTCTTGAGGCTCCTTTTGAGGCTCTTTTAGGACTGTCACGCTTTATGGGCTCACCCCGGGACCGAGTCATCTGACTCTGGTCTTGTCCAGTGTCTCATCGGGTTGGTATTATCTTCATATAACCGTAGTAGACCAAGCCGATGCTGTCTTGGAAGACAATATACCTCAAGGCGACATGGTTTCCCCCGGGTCTTCCAAATAGTTGAAACCCAGGATCCGGAAATTTCAAGACTGCAAAGACCAGCCGCCAGCAAGCACCTCGATCGCTGTCCTTGCAGGCATAACCCGAGCGTTCGACTCAACTTTGAACTAGGTACTGAGGTATTGACCCACGAGGCTGTAATCGATGCTTCATCCAGGTTGTTAATCCGGGGTCAGTCTAACTAGAGACTAGCGGGTTGAATCGATCGGGATTGTGGCCTCTTCGTGGGTACCCACGGTTTGCCTTTATTTACTTTTGTTCTGATGTCTGGATCTATGTAGTACCTACATATTTATGTATGCATCAACACTAACCGTGTTCGTTGGGTACTAAACCGCCCACCGGAACATGAATATGAAGGAAGACGGGAACGGACGGACTCGGAGGGACCGTGAACCTAAAGCACTGTTTTGGTGAGAACTACTCGAAAGACTCGAAAGGTTACCCGGCTGCGACCTATGAATAGTTAAACTATTATTACTGCCAGTAACCTGGCAGGGCAGGTCAAGTGAAGAACTTCATCAGATAACTCCGAGGATGGTGGTTCTGGCACTTGTTTTCTTCGTAAAAAATTCCTCTCTGGGAAGATTCTGACCGTTCCCTCGAGGTCGTGCGCTGGGGGCGCGGCGTCGTGTTTTTGGAAATACATTGTGCAGGGGAAACCGCTGTGTGGAAGTAATTCTGTGCAGGTTCAGTTGGAAGGGTTGACTCGTATACCCACAATTCAGTATAAGCTGAGTATTGTTTCTCCCCAAGTCCCCATAATCATCGGAGTGGGGTCCGGGCGGAAATATTCAAGCCTCGGAGGCTATCTGGGTGTCTCAGTCAGATCTACTTATCTGTTCATGTCATGGGTTTTTTTTGGGATTTGCGTGTTGAGAATCGTAAGTATTCAGTCACTTTTTTTTGAACATCATTTTCTGTCACCCGTGTTAACCCACGCAGGGAGTGGCTCTGAAACCCCCCTTTCCGCCGTATTGATAATTGGACGTGAACGATGCACCCGCGGGTCTAAATGTCACAAAAATCGAATTAAATATTAATGCGGGCGCTCATGAGTTCCGTCGTGAAGGAGTTTCGTTGTCTGAATTAAATACGTGTACCACTCCGCTCAAGAAGAAATTGACAGACGGAGGCTCCGAGTTGGTCCTACGACTAATACGTGTTCTGGTATAAGGAGGGATACGCATCTCCGACATCGGCCCAAAATTTTGAGCTTGTCAAAAGCTTGTCATCTACTGAGTTGAGCTTTTTTTTTTCGGTTGAATTGTGAATTTTGTGACGAAAACATCGGCAAACAAGCAGTTGGAATTGAATGGAAATAGAATTATGTATTTGAATATTAGTTGATAATATGGCATCATTACGAAACTGGGGCATACGGGGTAAAATCATTTAAGAGCGGGCCTCAAGCGGGTTGAAATCCAACCTAACGCTTCTTCCTGTACCACCATGGCCGACTTGGAAAAAGGAACTTCTGCTACTGCCTCTGGCGTCAACCACACCCACAACCAAACTGGTGTCTACGACGAAGGCTCCGCGTTCAGGAATTCACCTACTTCTCCAGTCAAGAATAGGATCGCAAACCCAGGATCCCTGTAAGTTCCTCGCCTTTTCGAAAAATCGTCTCGCTCATTCGTCAACAACAGCGGTTTGTTTTCTTTCGCGTCGACAACGCTTATTCTTTCTCTCTACAACGTTGTTGCTCGCGGTATCACCACACCGAATGTCGTCGTCGGTATGGCTTTGTTCTGTGGCGGTCTTGGGCAATTGTTGGCTGGAATGTGGGAGTTCCCTAAAGGTACGCTTGGTTCTTTCTCTCTCTTTGATCCAATTCTGATTCGTTTTTCTTCAGGCAATACTTTTGGAGCAACGGGTGAGAGCAACTTCATTTATTTTACCTCGCCTTTCATTGGTCCATGAATGGCGTTTGGCATCGGACAATCCCCCTTCTTCCCGCTCCGCGATCTCCCCTCAAACGCTGAAACTAACTTGTTTTTCTTCTAGCATTCTCGTCCTATGGTTGCTTCTGGCTCTCCTACGCTACGATCTTCATTCCCGGCTCTGGCATTATCGCCTCCTATGATGGAAACATGGACGAGTTCGCCAGTGCAGTCGGGATCTACTTGATGATATGGATGACGGTCACCTTCCTATTATTGTAAGTCTATTTTTGTTGCACTTAAATCAATTCCAGGATCTCACGTTCCTTAAAGTATCGCCTCTCTGCGCAAAACCATCGGATTCATCGCTCTTTTCTTCTTCCTTACTATGACTTTCATGTTGCTCGGAGCAGGCATGTTCGTCACGCCATCCTCGGCTTCAATGGGTGTCAGCTTGCAGAAGGCCGGAGGAGCTTTGGGTATCGTCACTGCACTCATCGCATACTATGTTGGCCTGAGTGAACTTTTGGCCGCGGAGAGAGCGGCGGTCGTGGCACTTCCTCTCGGTGTGTTCAAGCATGACTGAGGAGTACATCGTACATCGTAGCATCATTTCCATCATTCGCAAAGAGAGCAGTGTGGAGAAGTTTATTCGCTGATATCATTTGACGTGCGAGTTGGTTTCCCGTTCCCTCCAATTTTCCACCTTTTCATTTTATACTTTGGGCTTTTATTCACTACTGTACCATCTAATCCAACATCTCGACTGTCACCGCAGTCGTTTTCTACCTTTCCGCTCTTTTCATCCTACGGTCTCACTCCACAAAATTATATGTCAACCTCGGTCCTCGTTGTTCGATGATTATTATTCTTCCAGCCATGTGCCCAGTGGTTTTTTTTTAGTTACTCTACGTTACTTGCATACCCTTGAATCCCAATCATCGGTTGTTGTTGACTTTTATTAGAACGCTGAGTGCGCTAAAGACGAATCGCAGTAGCAGTAGCTGCGACACATACAAATGGGGGCTTGATAATTTATCACAAATCCCATCGGCCTACAACGCTCCAATTCACACAACACCCCAAAGACTCCACTGTCTATGCCGAACAAATCCTGCGTATCCTTGCCTTCAACATACTGTACGATCGAAAATCGGAAACGACTACCAACTACCTTACCGCTCTATCGGGAGTCGAGGACTGCATGCGCAGCGGGACTCGGATGTACGAGCTCAGAAGAACCCTGATGGAGATTTCTCGGCGTTTGCGATTTTTTCGGACTATGATCAGGATGCAACAATTCGAGCAGTCAAGCTTTCAAGTTTAACTAGAAAAAGATCTCAGATAGCCTTCTGTAAACTGTATAGTTTTTCAATCAACCGGTAATGAAAATGTCAAAAGCGATAATGCGAAGTCCCTGTGACTACATATACTATGCGTCCCGAATAGAACATGTCCGGTCACTGTCCGGTCCTTTGTTGTCGAGAGTTATTTCGCCACGCTCCAGAGTAGTCTGAGAATAACGTTCCCCATGCGAGATAAGCCCCAACCCATGCCGTGGCCCCGTCGATGTTCCAGGATGGAGGAGGAGCGCTCCGGCTAAGAGACGGCTCCGGGATTGTAAGTAGTGGTTCGGAACTTGGGTTTGGTAAAAACGCGTGGGTTTTAGGGGAGTGGGTCCATGGCCTGCGGCGATACTTGTGTCAAATAAATGTACAGTATGAGATACGAAGGGATAGTATGGGAGATATGGGGAGATAAAACTTTGGGATTGAATTGATATCGGAGCCTCCCCAAGGAAAAGAGCCTCCTGAGTTTCGTCGGGTCTCATTAATCGTTAGAGAAAGACAGGAATAATACAAAATCATCAAAAGAGATCACCCCATTAGAGAAAGACATCATCATCAAAAGAGAAGATCGCCGCAAACTGTATGCCCCCAAAACGCGGCCCACTTTGTTGCGACTGAATTCGAGTTCACTGTATGTTGGGAAGTGTAGGTTAGGATAAGGAAATGCCGGGGGCCTATCTGGAAGGTGACTGGTGAACCTATGGAGTGGTAATCGAGAGACTCTGCAATTGAATATTGATGCATGATGCTTCACGCTGCTTCAAGCTTGTCAAATTCGTCTGCATTATATCGAGTTGAACGTAAAGGGGGGGTTTCGTACCGTAGATGATACGACAATGATGTTGGAAATTGTAATCTCCTCGACACTAGTATCACGTCTCAGCCTCAGCGCTCAGCCTTAGTAAAAAGTTCGGTTTTGGGGGCATACAGTTTGGGCAGTGAGCACATCGATGGCGAGGTCTTTTTCATCGTGGGATTCGACTTCAAGAGAAGCTGTAAATTCTAACCCTCTAATAGAGAATATGAAAAGACGTGGGTGAGGTTTATCAAATCCGTATGCCGCCTATAAGTTTCATGCACAAATGGCAGCAGGCAGAAGGGCCAACCGCTGTAGATAAAGACGAGCCGGAGGGGTGGGAATTGGGTTCGAATGATGATCCTGCGCCGTGCAGATGCGGCGGGGTATAGATGGAAAGCGACTTTCGACTGAAGTTTCTCATGTCGTGCCGGCTGAGGTCTTGAGTGATTCAGTATTATAGCTGTGCATATGTAAGGTTCAGGTTTTTCCAGTTCTTTCGCCTTCTGCAAAGTCGCTAGCGGTGGTCGCTTCAACACAGGCGAGAAGAATCCTTCGACCCGAACTTTGAGTAAGGTATTTGATGAGTACTAAGTAGAAGAGCCGTGACGTTGATAGTGTAGTTAAGGGGCCAGAAGAGACAGACCTAGTAGTAACACTAACTGGGAGATCTCTACGAGAGCTTTCGAACGTGACCGAGGTGGCTTGAGGCGTGAAGCTTGAACTACAAAAAACTACAGCACAGAAGAGGATGGGGGTACCGCGGATCGAACGCGGGACCTTCAGAATGCTTTTTAGGCGCGCTTCAGTCTGCTGCTCTCCCAGCTGAGCTATACCCCCGTGGAATGAGGAATCAAAATGACCTCCAACTAACACTGAGGATGTTGCTAAATTTTTTATGATTAAGATAACAAGATAATTACAGATGATGCATAGGCGATGTAGGGGAAAAATTGATAACATTTCAAGCTGATACGAGCCCCGGTACTCGCACCTTTGTTGGACAAGAGGAAATGAGAAATACGAGAGTACTGAGACGGAGACTATTTAGGGCGCTTATTAACATAGTAACTCCTATTGCCATTTCTCCATGCTCGAACGACTACAAGAACCAAGCCCTTTGGATCCATTTAAAACCCCCTGGCCAGAGCCCTCAACAGGTTATACTTGGCTTATCTCGACCGTATGGGGTTATCTTACCGTCGGGCGACTCGCACCTTGGAGGCACAGTTCCACTATGCAAGACCTGGAACAGGCCCTTGAAGAGCAAGTTCCTTATAGCCTATTCATCCGGACCATCCATAGATTTACCAACTCCTTAACAGTCAGATACATGGAATGCAGGCAGGAGCTTCAAGAATATCTTGATTCTCGGCACAAGCGAGAGCGCTTCCTTTGCTACAGATTTTGGAAGGAGTTATTCTGCCAACCGCTGGTCGACGAAATCCCTTGGAAAGATGTTCCGCTCTATCAAAAGCTCACAAAAAAATATACACACCTCATACATTGTTCTAAGGTGAGTCCTCATCACTATATCAGCCTAACCATTCGACTTACTCGCCCGGAATTTTAGCTGTATGAGCAAGCTTATTGTTACAGAAAGATACCTTGGTGGGGGCGCCGACACCTAGGCTCGGATGATGTTGCCACTGTTTCTCAGTGGAATTTACGCTCACAACTTGCTGCCCAATCGAGTTATTGTGCTCTTCAATGGCCCCCCATAACAAGGAATAAGCATTTTGTCACTTTTCCTTCGAGTGCGAAAGAATGTACTGTCACTCGCACTCCCCCATTACGATCAAGGTCATACCCACTCTTCAGATATCCTGGTGATGATTGGGTACCAAAGATTAAGTGTAATAATCCTGCCCTCCATGACCAGAACCAGAACCAGACTCGGACTCAGACTGCTCTAGCTTTTCAACTCCTCCTCCTTACTCTCCTAGTACACCTTTTGTTTTTTTAAATTCGTGGCCGAACAAGCTCTTACAGAGATGATACACTACTAAACGAGTTCTGCTAAGATAGGAGAGTGTACCGTTGGATGGCTCAAGAGGTTATAATAGAAATATTTCAACGGCCAAGCTACATAGCACGCAGTCTTCAGAGCCACGTTCGGAAATTATGCGCGCACGATCAACTCTCTACTATTGAAAACGAGCCTAACGTGACTCTAGTGTATGATAGCTGTGTTCTAGGCGAAACATCTATGTCAATGTCCGAACCACCGTGATTGATGCCTTCATCCCAGCTTCATTCAAGCGTCGTAACCTAAGAAGAGACTCGGAATTCAGATCCCAGCTGCTACTAGCCAAAACATCATATTTGACAGAAAATTGTTCTAAGAATCCAACACTGGAGCTGGATTGCAACTGTGATTCGGCCATCGCTAAGATGCACAGGACCGTATTATCCAGATGTCCATTTTCCGTTTGACCGTAGTAGCTGTAAACCAAGTCGAACTGCTGCAGTCGAGGAATGATGGATGACTCTGCCGTAGCGACCAGTCCATTAAAAAGGTCGTCATCGATAGCGTATACCTTCATCGTCAGGCTTATGAGAGTGGAGACAAGAGACAGAAGTTGAAGGAGGTACTGATCAATGTAAATATCGTCACATAACGTGAGTGTCTGTAAAGGACACCGCGAGCGAGATATAAAATCCAGCAAGCTCGGTTGCCAGTGATCGCCTGCAAGCCGTCTCAAGGTCAGGTTTTCGAGCTGTGTTGCAATTAGAGAATTCAGCAGTTCTATCCATTGAAATTGATGACTAGAAAAGTAGCCTTCGATATCAAGGGAACGAGCCTTGATCAAGAGTGGCTGCAATGCAATTCCCGTACCATGGCCTTTATCCAGGATTATAGTGAAAGAATCAACGTTGTGGCAATTTGTGAGGACATCGATCATACCGGAGGTTGACCAGCCTCTCATGGGCCCAAGTGTGGTGATATGACAGAATGGGAGGTTACCCTGAGGCTCATATTCACTCAGCGAAAGGCTTCGTAACCGGGGTGACTGCGCCTTTGATGTAAATAGTGACACGAAGTTATCTCCATCTTCCCCTCCATCTTCCCCTTGTCCATGCCAATCTAGAATCAGACATTCGAGCTGATCGAAGCGGTGGTCATTGAGGTCAATGCAGTAAGGCATCTCTATGAATACTGCCCACGAAAGATTGATTGTCACGTCTTTCCACCTTCTGGAGGAAAGAAATAGAATGTTAAGCGCATCCCACGAATGCAACTTTAAGTAATCGAGGTTTGATTCAACGAATTCGTCTGAATTGTGGCCAGTTTCATCAAAAGACTGGTCCAGATTGCCAGCGGTGATGAAGAGAGTAAGAGAAGCGTCTCGAGATTGATTCAAGTAGTGCTCCATAACTTTGAACGCCCCATTTCGATGGGACAGATCGACCCAGATGGATGACCACAGGGAGGGCCTAGCTCAAACGATCTCCCTCCAAACAGAGCATACTTGAGAAAGATCGAGCGTCAAAGCCTTCGCGGTAATTATTGAAATATCGAGGGCAAAGTTCATAGTACCAGCAGAGTCTGAGTTGGAGCTTGAACAAGAAACATCAAAAACTGATTGTAGCACCTCTGAAGGGAGTTTACGAACTGGCGCAAGTAATGACCGCGCTTTATCACGGAAGTGTTCGAGTGCCTTTCGTTGTGTCTCCAGCTCTTTTAGGATACTTTGGAGGCCCTGAATTTCTTTGTCAAGTTCTGAGATATCCAAATCCACTTCAGTAGTCTCGCGAATTATTCTAGCAGCCTCGACGTTATTTGGCACGTAGAGAGACCGCAGATACTGCCGGTTGAAGTCGTTGAGCACAGGAAAGTCGCGAACGGAGAGTGTTTTTCTGCAGGTATGGCAAAGGACTGCGTCGGGCATTTTCTAAAACAAATTAGCTAGGCAAAAAAGTACATCAAAATTCAGAATTTACCTGGATGAGTAACGATAAGTTGAAGCTTGTGAAAAGTCACCACAGTTTGCGGCCCGGGTCGTCCCTCCGGCTGTTCCTCCATGGACCATGCCGGTCCTTCCTTCCTTCTGGTAAACTCCAAAACTGCTCTAAATCTCTTGATCATGACACTACGAGTCGAAGTCTCAGGTATGTAAGGCTCCCTGGCTTTCCCCAGTATTTGCATCCATGATCTTATGCATCCTCCAGCGAAACGATGGGGAGCGGCATACTCTAATTCATCGCCCCAAAGCAACTAATTTCCACAGTGACCGCCGGGCTTACTTAGACACGGTGTTAAAGTGAGTGGATTTGCACTGCGCGTTGTCGCCGCTGCAGCTTTTTTCAAAAATCAAGACTTTCTTTTTTCTCCACTTATACTATGGGAAGATGGCTATTCAACGTCAACGTCCACGATGACGCCTACATCTCTGCCCGCCACACCTCGTTCGATGTTCAAGCTATCACGAGTACGTTTTGCTATGGCTTGGAATATCGGAGGTATGTATTAGTCTCTCGATGGACCAATGCCTAAAAACTGTGAAAGAAAAAGACCGTATTTTTCGCTATCTTTCCTCGAGCTTTTGCTGGGCCTGGGCTTTCCGATTGTAGAGATGGTTTCTCGTAAGTTTTCGCCCTTGTTCGTTATTGAAGTCAGCTGCAGAATGACGCAAGTTTACTGTGTTCTTATAGTATCTGGCGTGTAAAGATCATATCCCCGATTCTCTGGCCAGACCGTCGTTTCGACATACACGAGGAATTTGGCTGCCGTTCAGCTTCCGACAATGCACTTTACTTCTGTGAACTCCTCCGCTCATTATTGGTATCGTGTCTATGGTCTTCTGTTGTGCGTTCACATCGTGTTCACTCTGTCTCTCTGTATCCTGTTCTGGATTTTCAACCTGCTCTCTGTTTCAGTTATGGCCATCGCCACATGTACAAATTGCTCGACACACACCCATCTTCCACGTTTCACTGTCGCGCTACGCTCTCTGCATCCTTTCTCTGATTCCTTCCTTTTCGACTCTCGTTATTTAGTTTGGCTTTATCGTATGGCTCAGTCATAAAACCACCTGCTGAAGACCCGTTCAAGCTTGACAACCCATACCCAAGACATCTTCCTGATAAGTTTCCAGCTCAATCCGTGGTTGCCCATCTCTCTGGGTACACGTCTACCGCGAAATCCCAGTACACTTCCGCCTTCAACATATCAAGTACTACACAAGAATCCACCGTATCTGCAGATTCATCCTCCCCATTGATTTCATTCTTGTTGCTTGTTTACATATCAAGATTCTAAGATCTATACTACAAGTCGATTCAATTACGCATCTGGATTCTGGAAGCAGGGAGTACATACTCGCTACATCCTTCTCGACGGCCTTATGCCTGCGCATGATCTCTGTCTACATGAATCCTCCAACTGGTCCTCTCTCTTCATGGCCACTCATACTCAAAGCCTTTCATTACTACTACTCTCTCTTTAGATCGTCGCCGACTTTTACCTACTCGCACCTTAATCAATCATACAATGTTTCCTTTCGTTTAGACTTGAGAGGTACTGGGAACTGAGGCTGGTAAATATGAGCTCTATCGCTTGACAGTAACGTAGTAGGCTATTGTACAACAGACACGTCGAAAGATCTACAAAGCTATTCTTGAAAGATAAATATCCGTGGGTTCGTATGCCTCATGCCACTTCCCTGCTCGCCTGTGAACAAACGTATAGAATCTGCCTAGAGAAGACAAAATATGCGTGGGTCGCAACGCGTTTCAGACCAAGTCGTTAGGAAGGTTGTGTGATTCTGATTCTTGGAGGTACAAGGCTTCTTTGGGATAGAGTGCTGGAAAGAAAAACCAAATATAAACAATATAAG